TGTGGGGGGGGGGGGGGGGGGTGGTTGGGGGATGGGGGTCACAGAGGAGGAGAGCCCTTGGATATGGAAGTGGCAGGCCAGGGACAGGGGCTGGCAACTGGGGGGGCTCTTCTGGGCCAGTGTGGGGCAGCCCCATGGGGGCACTGGGCTGCCAGAGGTCTCCGCAGGCGGGCACCATGCTGGGGGGCACAGGGCCGGTGCATCCATGTGGGGAAAGGGTTTGGAAGCAAAGTGCTGGGGGGGATGGACACGGAGATGGCAGCAGGTCAGACTTTCTCCTTCCAAATGTTTCTCATCCCCACGGATCTTCCCCCATTCTCTGTGGCTGCTGCTCATGGCTGATCCTTTCACTTCCCAGCTGGAGCATCTTCTGGTGGCTGATGAGCTCCCCCCCCCCCCCCACCCCCAGGTTCCTTACGTGGCCGAAGCTGTGAACCCTGATGTGCGACGCAACCTTTGCTCAGCGCTTTTATGTCTACTGCTGTCACCAATGGAAAATCTTGAGAAAAAGGGAGAAAAGATGAATGCAGGTGAAGCCTGAGTGGGTCATCTCGGATTGGGTTTCTGGGCTTGAATCCTGTGGTGTGGTCCTAGCACCTCAGGGGTTTTGGTGTTCTGGGGTGGGGGAGCAGAGGTTCTGCCCCCGATCCTACATCCAGTCTTGTGCGAGACCTTGTCCGACAGCTCTGGGAACAGGGACAGAGCCAGTACCTCAGCTCCGATGTTTGCTGGGACTGTGTGGTTAAGAGAATTGGGGCGCTTCAATGATTCCTGCTTTTAATCTGGAAGTTGGATGAGGCTCTGATCAACCTGACCTGGTTAAAGGTGTCCCTGCTTACTGCAGGGGGGTCGGACTAGATGAGCTCAAAAGGTCCCTTCCCACCCAAAACATTCTATGATTCTGTGTGTATGAAAAACTTTTCAATTTCAAGTGAGAAATACCATTTTTAAGTAGAATCATAGAACAGAATCCCGGGCTGGCAGGGCCCTCCGGAGCTCACCCAGTGCCACCCCCCTGCCCAAGCAGGCTCACCCAGGGCAGGGGGCACAGGACAGCGGCCAGGCGGGGGGTGAAGATCTCCAGAGAAGGAGACTCCACAGCCCCCCTGGGCAGCCTGGGCCAGGGCTCAGGCACCCTCACAGTCAACAAGTTCTTCCTCCCGTTCAACTGGAACCTCTTCTGCTTCAGGTTGTGCCCATGGGCCCTTGTCCTGGCGCTGGGCACCACTGGGAAGAGTCTGGCTCCGTCCTCGTGACCCCCACCCTTGAGATATTTGTAGGTGGTGATGAGATCCCCTCTCAGCCTTCTCTTCTCCAGGCTGAACAAGCCCAGCTCATCAGAATCATAGAATCACTTAGGTTGGAAAAGACCCTTAAGATCATCGAGTCCAACTGTAAACCTAACTGCTAAACCACGTCCCTAAGTGCCACAGGACTGCCTTGCATTGGTTTTTTTTCTAATGCTCGCCTCATTTGCTGTATTTTGAAGAACATGGGATGTTAGAAAACAGCCCCCCCAGGGAGCTCAGCAGGTGCTTTTAACGCCGCTCTGTCGAGCTGACGTGGATGAAAAGGAGGAAGCAGCGTAAATGAAACAGGCTGACCCTTGGGTCCGGCTGTACGAAATCAGTCGATTGCTTTCATGCCTGCCATAAACACGTTAGAGGAGTTTATCTGCCGCAGCATAGTGTAGTAATAAAGTGAAAGTGATACCGCACGAGCAGTGCTTTGCTGATAATTCTCCTGCTGGAAGGAAGCCCCTCCTGTGCCGCGGTTTCGGGTTTCTCGTGAGCCTTTTTGGTAGAAGCGAGCTGCATTGTTTGTCCTTTTTCTGCTGGCCGTCCCGCCTACGGAACAGAGGAGCTCCTGCATATTTCAAGTAAGGTTTTCTTAAAATAACTCTCTGGATAGTTTTGTGGTGCTGCTTAACCATCCTTCTCACGGGGATCCTCCTTCGTGGAGGATCTCGGCTTGGATCTGTTTGCGAGAGGCTCAAGTTTTGTGAGTCTGATTGTTGGTCCCGACCGTCCTCGGGTGAGTCACTGTCGTCTCTCCCGGGAGTTTGGGCAGTTCAGCCTCCGCAGACTTCCCCAACGTCCTCCTAATGATACTTTGCATTTAGACGAACGCCTGTATCTTCTTCCTCCATGTTACGGTATTGTAGAGAAAGCCGCAAAACTTGCATGGATTCTGATTTCATGTCATTCTCATTTGTTCCAAAGCCTCGTACAACGCAGGAGCAGGGACCTGGGGTGAAGTCGCTGTTGCAGGGACTGCAGATGTGTCGCCTAGACATGATGCATTGCCCTCCTTAGCACCTCACCAGAGCCTTGTACAAGCTTCTGCTATGATTTATTCGGAGAAACTCCTGGCTGCAACACTGCGATATCCTGTAAAATATCTGAAAAGAAACCATGTACTCATGCCTCTGTTAAAAGCATGGACTGTATATTGTTTGCTAAAAGTTTGGGGTCTTTTTTTTTTTCTTTTTGCATGGTGGCAAAGCAGTGAAGGGATTCAAAAAAAAGCACCTGACGGTCGATGAATGTGAAGCTCTCGCACGGAGCGCAGAAGGTTCATCCGCCCTGACGCAGCCATTGAGTCAAAGACAAAGTAGAGGAGATGTAAACAGGGGCCTCCATCCCACCCACCGGAAAAGACATCAGGAAGGTACAGTGATCTCGAATACTTTGAAGGCTGAGGGATTTGGGAGAGAAAAACACTCAGGCATTGTGTAATCCATCACCGAACTTGTGCTGATAGGAGAGTAATGCTGGGGGAGGTGAGTGCAAATGGAAGGAATGGGTCGGGTTTGAGTGGTGCGTGGCAAAGCTGGGCTTAATCTGCCTCCGCAAAGTCAAGTGGCAGGAAAAAGAGATACCTTGACTGCTTCCCTCTGTGGGGGGAATGAGCTTGCCTTCGCATGTGTGTTTGGTCTCTCCTCACACCAGAAATGCCTCCATGTCTCCATCGCTGAGCTG